CGTCACAGCGGATGACAAACGGCGACGGGGCGCAGCGGGCGCTGATTGGCTGACGTCACGGTTAATGAGTGCGCTGGCGCCGGCGATTGGCCGACGTTATGAAAGATGAGCTTCCGCGGCGTTGCCGATTGGCCGGCCGACAGACGACCCAGTTGGCGGCGGCCCAGTGCGTAGCTTCTCTACGGCACGGCGCGCGCCCAGCCAATGCGCGTCGCACAATTGCATCTAATTACGTGACGGCATCCCTGCGCGCAGACTGCTGCGCTGATGCCCTGACGTGACTGTCGTCGCGTCGCCGTCGGCCATGAGCAGCGGGTACTGACAGCGTTCCTGACGCAGATGCCGTGGCCGCGCCGTGAGCTGCACGATGAACATGCGGAGCCCGCCGAGCCCGCGCCAAGACTCCGACTGGGACATTAACGACATTAGCGACGCTAGCGTCCCCAAGGTAAGACCGCTGCAGCGGGCGCCGGCAACAGCGGCGCCAGGCTGCACGGCGGCCGGACAAACAAGTGGCGACTGACAGCGGCCCGGCTGCTCACGTCTGGCCGGTCCTATCAGCGCTGGATCGCGTGCACCTCGTGTCCATCTCGCACCTGGACCAGCGCCGCCGTACCATCAGGGCCGATCGGTCTCGAGGTGATGCTCCAGCTGCACCGAAGCGTGCAGAGCGCGAAACCGAAAGTGAAATCGTGTTCGGCATACTCGCATGGCAAATGCATGAGGCGATAAAAGGCATCAAGTTGCAATATGGAACCAATCAAAAGCTAGCGGACGGCGCGGAGTGGGAGGCTGCAGCTGCCGGCTGACAGTCGAGGCGGACGGCCTCACGCCGGACGCGCGACCGTCAGCCGTCACGCCGTCACCTGGCATGACAGGCGCTGCTCGTTGAATTCAATGAGGACCGCGGGTCGGCGCAGCCTTCCCGGCGGCGGCGGCGGCTCGTAAAACCGGACGGTCTCCGGGTGGCCACCGTCTGCAAGTCATCCGGCTGACCGCCGCCGGCGAGCCGCACGTGCCGGCCGCGCACCACGGTCGGCAGGCCTCCCCTAGCGAGGGGGGGGGGGTCCGTGGGCTGGTGGTCACTGGTGGTGGGCGCCACTGTCCTCAGCGTGTGGAGGGGGGATTCGTTTAAGTATATCTTGGTTGAGCATATGTCACTCAAAGCTTTGAAAAAACTAAATCGTAAGAGCACCAAAATGTGTTGTGAGGTACACGGATGATTTGATGCAATATGTACCGAGGTTACCCCAGATGGACATTTTTACAAGCCGATGCGTGAAATGTCGTTTCGCAAGGTCGCGGGAACTGGGGGAGAGGAGTGGGAGGCCAGGAATGGCCCGTGGCCCACATTTTATGCACAACTTCGGCAAATTTATCCACCTCTTGTGAGTTTCCGCATCCTGGTCTGGTTTGTTGTAAGAAAAAAGTGTCACACCTAGTGTCATTAAAAATTCAAACCAAGCTAAGCCGGGGCCCCCCGTGGGACGCCGTAAGATGGATGCTTATTACTCCACTTCTTCATTGTATTAACCACTGCAGCCCAATGCCTTACTTAAGTGTGATGACGACGCCACGCCTGCTGCAATGACAAGCATGCGCCGGTGCCATGGACCTGATTTGATGCACGGCTGATCCCGTGGTGAGCAGTGGTCGCGACCTTTGTCGCGTGATGCATGTAATGTTCCCCCATTACGTCGGCGGGGCCGCTTGCCGCTCGCCCGCAGTCACTTTCGGCGCAGGTGACGCGTCACGGATTATGCAGCCGAACTTAACTCAACATGATGTCCGGCGTCTTAGCAACTAACAAATGGATTTCCCACCTCATGCCCAGTCAAGTCACGTAATGCAATAGACGCAAGGCGTTAGATCATTCTCGCTTTGTACCGCCCAAGACCACGGCCATTTATCCACGTGTGTCTCGTTAACATCTTAGTAATTGGATAACCTACGGCACACACCAGCCCATTGTGTTTGGGAAACAGCCGTGCGCAGGCGGCCGGGCCGGTCATTGGCTGTCACGACACCGTCACGCGCGGGCCGTAGCGGTTCCCGCGCGCCCTCGCGGCTGGCCGAGACACGCCGCCCCGTTTGCCTCATTCTTTTTTCGCCCATTGCAGGGCTGGAGATGTCGGTTGCAAGCGCACGGTTGTTCAAGTAACTATATTTTTGGTATTATGGGCAAAATGTATGACATGTGACACTACCCATCACAGAATGTTAGACATCACAGATCATGATTTTTTTTATAGAATGATAAAATCACATATATATATATATATGACATATATATATATATATATATATATATATATATATAATCCAGTGATTTGTTCCGACAATCCAACCGAAAGCAGTTTGAGCATTTTGCTTAGCACGCTTGTAAATGCGTGTAAATTTTATGCCAGGCTATGAGATAAACATCGCCAGAGGCATCTTACTCCAGGCATATGTTGCCGCCAGCATAGCCATTGTCACAGCTGCGGGCGTTCAGACGTCATCCTCTATACTGCACTTGTACGCCCAGTGTCACGTGACGGCTTCTGCTGACCCCGCGTCCAGCCGAAGCTGAATCAGAGATTCGCGACGTTTTCGGTGCTCTGATGTAATTTTTTTAGGGGGGGGGGTGAGCTGCAGTTGGGGTAAGTTAAAACCGCTACGGATGTTACTAGTCTTGCCATTGTCCATGTTCTCGCATCTCTTGAAATGATTGAAAAATATTTAAATTTGCGACATAGTGGAACAGGTTCTTTTGCCCCATGGCCACTTACCGTGCCACCATCAGCAGTGTACCCCATTCTAGCACAGCGATGGCTTTCGACGATGGCGTTTGGACGATGCCGTATGCCGGATTTCCCAATAGTGGGCACAGCTAAAAACATGCCCGCTGAAATCCAGCTCAGTTGAGTCCGCCTCACGCGCAAAAAATCTTACATGGCGGTCAAAAAACATCGCATGATTCCGGTCTTTTTATGCGTACATGCCGATTTTAAATTTGTAAGTGTTTACATTTGTTCACGTACATTGGCATATAAGAGGTTTGACAGAGGCGGAGACACATGCCTCGAGAGGCCATCGTATGAATACCCCACTGACTTGAGGTCTCGTTAAAGGGAGTGGTGCCACCTTTGGCGAATATTTAAGAAGCATACTCTGGTTAATTTTCAGGGGCACTTAGCTCTAATAATAGCATTGGAGAGCGTCACTGCAGCACCAGCAATAAATGATAATCCGATTAATTTTCATAATTTTCGAGTACATATTACGTGGTTAACGTTTGGGCACATCACTAGACATATGTCTCTCTTTGTAGCCCCAAATTTACGTTTTGGAACAGAGTGACCCAGACTAACTCCCTGAAAAGATCCCTAAAAACCCATGGACATATTTGACAGATGACCCTAGAATTATCAAGGGCCTCTTAAGACGAGGCCGCCAGCAGTCCATGGACCCCCCAATGGCCGTTTACTGCAGAAGGCCTCCTCGAACAATCGAACAATGGAACTGGTGGGGGTCGTGGATTTCCAGGTGCCTCACTTGACTACGTCCTCTTTGATGAGGCAAGTCCTGGAAAACCAAGGGGCCGTGACACGAGCCATGGATATCCAAAAAAGCCTTTGAAGCTCTATTGGATCTGTATGGTTCTTAGAAGCTGAATGGCTCCCTTTTGGTAGGGTCCCTTAAAGTTCAACAGTCCCGTTTGGTAGGAGTCACTAAAAGCTCAACAGTCCTGTTTGGTGGGGTCCCTAAAAGTTCAACAGTCCTGTTTGGTAGGAGTCCCTCAAAGTTCAACAGTCCTATTGGTAGTGTTCCTAAAAGTTTAACAGTCATGTTTGGTAGGAGCCCCTAAAAGTTCAACAGTTCTATTTGGCAGGAATCCCTAAAAGTTCAACTGGACCTCTTTGAAGAGGGCCGAAGAAATCCAGTGGACTTACTTCCTGCAGCGTTGTGAGATTGTGAAATACTCATCCGATAAATAACGTCTATCCATTGACCCTCAGTGGCTGTTGAATAGATGACCTTCAGGGATCTTTACCTGTTTTGGGCTAATGCGACTCTCAGAGGCCCTTTTGCCAAGGAGGCTTTTTGTATATGGGATATTTTGGACCGCGGACCCCATTTACGTCATTGTTCACTCAAACTTCTGTACATGCAATAAGTCCAGTAATCTCTCCTGATATGGAATCACAACAGAAAAAGAGTCACAAGATGCAGGAGGCGTCCCAAGTTTATCTCGAGTGCTATCGGGTACTGCAACAACCGTACCTAGAAATTCCATCGGATGAGAAAAGGGACTCCAACGGTTTTTTGTGTGCCCCGTGTTTACCGGTGAAGAGTATTAGCCAGCTCTGATGAACACAGGCGTATGTTCAGAGGGCTTGGGTATGGAGCCATGCCCCCCCCCCCTCCCCCCCCCCCCCCTGGGCAAGGGGGCAAGAAACTATCATGCCGAAGCTGACCAAAATCCTCATTTTTGATCCACATAACGTTTATTTTCAAGAGGCACAAAATTCCAGTCGACTAGTTTTCTCTAAATTTCGTGGTTTATCTGCTAGATATACACCAACGGATGCTTCCCACTGACGTGCAATTTTATCTATTCGATTCATCTATGGCATTCGACAAATGAGGCTTCCCAGTTTCCGAAAATGTTCCTTCCATTTCAGCATTGCCTTTCCTAGGAAACGAAATTCCACGAGCCTTTAGGTATTTGGGGTCATTGAGAGGCATTTGCGTCCACTTGGTAGATGTAAAGATACGGATTGGGCACAGGCCAGTCAGAAATTCTGATTTAAGTCAATGGCCCATAGCATATCACAGCTTCCATGCGCCTGAATTTCATCAGCTGTTTTTCAAGAGATCAGATTGATCGCAGTTCTTTAGGCGGAAACCATAAGGAAACTTCAAATGCTTCTCGTCAAAAGAAATGTGACAACAATCATACAACTGTGGTTTCTTCTGTTAAAAGACAAGTCACAGCATGAAGGCCCTTGTTTCGGATACTCCTCGCCTGAACCCTGCTCCCGTTCGACGCCAGCGGTCAATGCCCTGGACTGCTGTCCCTAGCATGACTGACTGCGAAGTGACTGTATCACTGCCTTGCTGCATATTTATGAACAAGCAGCGCTAGTTATTCGGTGTGTAAAGCATAGACGGGACCCCCACAGTATTCTACCTCTTCTTATATACTATCAAACTATCTCCTCTTACCCCACACCGCAACAGAAATTAAGCTTTCAGACCACTGTCTGCCTTACTGTCTGCCTACGCATAAATTGGTTCGCCAGGCACTCCGTTTGCCCCTCCTTTAAAGGGAATTGTTCACATTTAGACACATTAGCATAATATGTGATGAATCAGGTTCACTTATAACTATTGGTGTACTTTTAAGCAGCGAAGGCTGCTCTTAACATCTTAGTCTCTCTGTTTAGTAAACATGCTCCTCGA